AACGGACTCAGTGACTCTTTTGCAGTATTCACTCGACTCTTCTGGGAGGATTAATGTTCAGGATTCAACATTATGTGTTTATTTATATTCTCCAGCGATTAATTTGTTTTTTCAAACGTTCGAATGATACGCGTTATTTCACAGCTGCCGTTCTCGTTGACAGTACACATTTCTTAAACTTTACACTCAACGAACTGTTACAGTCGTTATTATAAAAACAGGTTAATGAGGCGAAATGTTTTTCTTTCTATCCAACCCCCAGACAATAGGATGAATAACAATTTTTCATTGATATTTAGTAAAACATTTGTTTAACTAGTGAATAATTTATGTCGATTATCTTTTTTTATTTTTATTCTGTTTTGATAACAATTTTATCTCAACAAATATCGGCTAAAAATAATATGACTTCAACATTATTGTATTATCAGCTACCTATGATGTTATACACTAATGTTGTATGGGTTAAAAGTGATTTTTATTGCATTCCGAAAATGTCGACTCCAATGTATATTAACCGTTTAAGTGGCTTATTATGACATAATAATGTGATGTTATCATTGTTAGTTAGGTAATAAATTATATTGTTGTAGCTATGTAATTTAAATGGCTTCTCTACATTGACTTGTATATAAAGTTAGATGTAATAACAATAACCGTAGTTTCCTAATGCAGTTTACTGTTAAGATGACTTGAACACCAATATAATTTAATTGTATTGTATTGTTGTATTTACAATAACCTAATATTTGTACGTTGTATAGCAACATAATTGAAATTGAAGAGGTCAGTTTTATAAAAAAAAACATTTTTGGTTTTGTATTGTATTAAGTTAGATCACAATTACTTCTTTTTTTGATGGGCAACAAAATATCATTAGAGTTTGCTGATAACTCAGTCTTTTCCGGAAAAAAAATTACTATTCAAAATTAATGAGCGAAAGACTTAAGTCGTTTTATTTTTAGTTTTTTCTAGAACGGTACAACACGTCCCATTAAGTTCAGTGACCTTTTAAAACTTATTTATCAATCGCTGTCTGAAAATTTTACTCGGAGCATTTCTCTGTTTTAACCAAAAAACTGAACTTGTTAATATCTTTAATTTAAATTACTGTGTACTTGTGAATTTTGAAATCACGTTGTTAATTGTAAAATAAAAGTGTTCATATTGTATTTATTGTAAAATATCGAATACTCAAATGCCGAAAAACTTATAATCAATTATACTTTTAATTAGTTAAATGAATAAAGGGCAGCATGCACAATGGTCACAGCATACATGGTCTTTATAGGCGTGTCGAAGTAAACGATCATGACAATCGTGCTATTACTTAATATTTATTATTATTGGAGACTGTAGGTGGTTGTTAAAATAAATTTTTACAAGTATTTTCGAGTTAATGTCAATAATTGTCATTTAGAGAATACTGTAATAAAAACAGCGGAGTACAGTAATTGTTGTATGTAGTCTGCATCGTCAAACTTGTAAATACTCATAGCATAATAGTTAAGATATTTAGATCACACATAAAAAAAAAAAACTAATGGTACTTTAAAATTTACGATTGGCAAATGACCTACTGCTATTCTGTACTCTTCCTTAGATCGTCGAATTTTTCTTATTAACTATATATTTTTTTGACTTTCCGTTGACATCTACGCTTGCTGTCCAACTGCGGTCGCGAAAACTTCCAAGAAAAATGGCGAATTTTTTTTTAATTGGTTTACAGTTCAATGGACGTGTCTTTTTCATATTTTGCGGAACACACGCGACAAGAGTGTCATCAGGCTTCCTACGCTGGACGGGCGGATACCGAATTATAGGAGATGTAGAAAGTAGCTTGGTCTCTTGGCGATCATTTGGCAGTCGCGTGGCTTTTTTTTTTTTTTTGCTTGTTGTTAAATTTATAGATTCTGCACTGAATTAAAAAGCACGATCCTCTGTCCCCCACCTTAAGCCAATGAAACTTCGTGGGCGTTTTCTCCCGTTTTTATTTCATCTTCGTAATTCGGAAATTATTGCTATTACGCCCATGCGGATTGTCGCCCACTTCGATTAAAAAGTGGATCCGCACGTACACATGTACAAGTATTTTGTGTTATAATATACCCACAAGAAAGCATTTGGTCACATTGACGAACCAGTATTTCAAGCGCATCTCTTCGGACCTCCTCTCCGTCGGCAGTTATGAACCGCAAAAACAGATACAACGAAAAAAAAAATCACCAAAGAACATTATTTACTAAGCATAATCATCTGTGTACTATTTTGTTGTGGAACGGCCCACTTGTAATCGTACACCTCCAGTGCTACGGGGGTGGTTTATATTGTAATGTCGTTACGATATTGTAAAACTACCGAGTTATCAAAGATTTATTTCGACTGGAAAATTTGTTTGTTTATTTAATATGATTCGAAATATTGTAACTTATATTCGGTATAAGTTTTATGAGCAGTTGAATAATATGATGTATTATACACCGAATTAAAATTTTGATTTATTTATTAGACATATAAATATTGTGTAGTATCTCGTTAGGAATTACTCGTATTAGGAATGCGATAGGGAATTGTTTTCTTTAATTTCATAAGATAACGTATTTATTTTTATAATTTTAGATTATTAAGTTAATTAATATGTGGAATACACGGTGCTGACATCGCATTGCTACATGTGTTTAATTACAGCGGTTATTTTCTGATCTATAAAGCCATAAATAATTTGTGGGTGAGCACTTGGAATAGACGCGCGTGTTGGGTTTGAAATGCGAATATTTAAAATATGATAAATGTATTTTTCTATTTGACATATTTACAACAAATTCCGGATTGACGTTTACGATATTATTGTTTTGTTGTTTTAATTAAGCCATTTTTAACGGAGAATATCTGTAGATAAAACAATTTTCGAGTAAATATTAGCTCCTCGTTCAGCGACAACTACTATTAAATACCGAGGGACATGAAAATTTGTTCGTTTTCACAAATATTATTATCTAGGAATTTAAAAATGCGAAATTCCGATCAAATAAATGGACAATAACAGGAAAAAGTCCATTTGTTCGCTGATTCATGTAAACGTGTATAGATGACTAGCCGAGAACGCCACGACGTTGAATAATCGTGTTATTGTAAATATTTGCCAAACACCATTAAATTAACATTAATTTCGTGTTCTCCTTCTAAATATTAAATGGTTGTCAGCGTAGTTTTTGAGTCAAGATGATGAATTATATTAGTTTCGAGTTGAATAATTAGTATTTAAAAAAAATAACTCATTAAAATCAAGACCCAACATTGCGGTGTACCGGCACCAGTATGAATTTATATCTCATAGTGATGAACGATCATTAAACGATTCGATTATTTATAAAGAATGACAAAAACCTTTTTTTTTTTTTTTATTAAACAAAAATTTTAGACTATACTATCGAATACTAATTAAAGACCAATCGTCGAAACTTATTTACCTTTTTAATCATTAAATACATTTAAAGAGCTTTAATTTAGTACAAGATTCAATTTGTTAGGCACGCCGAAAATTTTCAAAAATTTAAAATAAATAATAATTTTTACGTAAAAATTGCGAATTTTCATACTAATCGTTGAAACTTTTTTTTTTACATTGTACATCACTTTAAAGCTTTAATGATATAAAGGTTAAAAGTTGTCAGACGTTACGGAATATTATCGAAGAGAACAAAATGTTCCATGGCGTAGGTGGCCTTGTTCAAACCCTTTCTGTACTTAAAAATCCATCGTTCTAATGGGAATATAAACCAAAATCGTGTACACATATATTTTAATTTAGTCGGATCAATAACAATGTATTTTAACTCTATAATTTCACAATTATAATATTATTTCACGTTAATATGTTCACAACTACTATGAATAATATAATTGCCATTAATTTCATAAATATACATGAGGCACGCCTTATAAGTTAAAAATGTTTCTCGACAAATTTATTCGCCATTAAAAAATAAGAAAATTTGAATTTGGTTAATTATTTATTAGCATATGCGATCGTTGTTTTCACCGAGAAAAACCCCATGTGGTCGCGTTAAGTCTTTTGCGAAAAGTCCTTGGTATGACAAACGGTTCAGTTAAATTTCAAGTTAAAGTACTAAAATGTGTGTAACTCGGTCACAGACGTTAATTAGTTTTTATTATATTTCTTTATAGTCGTCACAACATGATTATTTGGAGCCAGAACGTTTTTTTAAAATCGGCCGCCTGCACGTCGTTTTCAAGGAAATTTCGTTTGTTATGTTGTGGTGGCTGAACACATGCATTTTGTTGTATACTATTTTGTTTATTGATATTCGCGCTAAAAAATACACCGAGGCCGCCGTCGATCAATGAGTCGGAAGATTAACGTTGGCTGTTACTCGCCAAGAATGCAACTTTAACGATTCACACGCGTCTCCGCGCACATAAATCGTGTTATTTGTCGCCGTTTCCGATTAGTGGTCCTGGACTGGACTATTACAAGACCATTTCGAAAAATTGTAGAAAAAAAAAAAGTATAAATAACGGTCATACAGCAGCTATCGCGTACACCGCCTGGGCTGCTGCCCACACCTTAGCCATAAATCCGACGTCCTTTTCGTCGGATGTATCTAAATATACAGAAATAAATTTTAATAAATTGCGTGTAGAACAAACTGCAATAAATTACACATTGTCTTAATTATAAAATTCCGGTCACAATATTATTTTCAATCACTGGTGGCGGCGGTTCATTATATCAGTTGAACTTGCTCATTTTCCATCCGAAGTAGCCCGTACCGTTAAGTGACGGTTTCCTTCTTCGATTTCTCTCGTAATGACTTGACAGAGTTGATTTTTTGACAATTATTTTGCATGGTCCAAGGGTACCCCCTTATGAGTTGCTCCGGGGTCCTGGACAGCGGCCAAAGTATTCGGTCGTCACGTCCGACCGATGCCGAGCGTTGTCGACGTTCCCGGGACCACGCTCCTCGTTCGCCACCGTGGCATACGGTTCACAGGCGCCGTAAACGTTGTCCCTTCTCTGCTGTTAGCTCGTCTCGACAGGATCATCGCAAAATCTCGCCACCAAACCCTATTGCAATTGAAACTGTACTGGTCAAGTGATCGCGATTTCCACTTCGATTCTTGTGTCGCCTTGACGGATTTGTTTTTCTCGCCGAAACAAACAACGCTCGCCCGGCGTCTGATTATATCAATGGTCGTTGCTATTGTGGTCGCAGTCGCCCGTGGGAAGCCAAAGCTTCTGCCGCATCGCCGCCGACCAGACTTCTTCAGTCGACAGCTGTATTCGTCAGCGTCACCGGTTGTAGCGATTGGAATACCCTCCGAAGAAGTCTTAACGCATCGGCGACGGTGCAGCTGAGTAGTGTTCGTGAGATAAGACGGTAATGCGCGTGGTGATAGCCCAGTGCGCATCGTTGTGTTATGGGAGGAACGACGGGCGCGGAGGTCATCTCCCGTAAAGTCAGTGGGTCATTATGCCTGTCAGCAGCAGCACAGAGGTACCTGATGCTAAATGCTGTTGTAAACATTGTCAAGGTACAGGACTCAAAACCTACAGAAGTCTTTTAATCTAGTCTGTGTGCTGTGTGATTTTGTTTGTTGAAGTCTCTCCGTAATATTAATCACAAACCAAATTCCAGTGTTCAAAATAAATATCTATTTTTTATGTTTCCAAGCACTGCATGGTTGATATTTGTTTAAAAAATTTGAAATTTTTGTGCCGTCTGTTTATAAATTATCTAATATATATAAATATATCAAACAATACATTTTTACATAAAAAAGTACTAATGAATAATAAAGATTAAAATGGGTTAATTTGGATGTTTTTCAATAAAATTTTGAAGTTAATTAATATTTTGTTGTTTGTTTTTTCCTTTAAAACAAGAAATAACTGTATAAAATAGTCATCCTTACTATGTCAATATGACAATGCATAAGTCAGTTAATAGTTTTTGTTTCAATAACGTTTTGATGTCATCTACACATTAACTAATTTGCTGGTTTTAAATTTAGTTAACTAAAAATAATGTTTGAAAAAATAGACTTTTCGCGCGCATTTAACATTTAATTAAATTGTTACCTTATTTATTAAAAATATATGCAGTGTTCAGTAAGTAAGTTAACAAATCAATTGTTACAAACAAATTGAACAATAGAAACCCGTTTCCTTACTTATTAAATACTCTATAAATGCAATATTGTAAAAAATACTTTTAAAAAAAATTTAAGTAATTATTCAAAAACTTTCAAAAAAAAAATTTAAATACTTTTTAAAAGTATATCAATTCTACAAATACAAAAAAAAAAAAAAACATTAAATTTTAAAATATTTTATTTTAATCAAAAATTTGTTTATTGCTTTTAAAACAAAATTTTCTTGATTTATCAATTGTTGAATACTTGTTTGGTTTATATCTTATATCTTATAAGGGTGTCGACTTTTTAATTACAAACAGAAACGTAAACAAATTAAAAATTTAAATTATTGAAAAACTACTTGACAACTTTATATGTTTGTAACCTATATTTGTATATATTAACATATATATTTGTATCAACAACTATTAGTTATTTCTTTTAATATGGTCGTAGATTTGTACGTTTTATGATTTGTGAACTACTAAGCTAAGGAGGAGTTAAGATATTTTTAAAACGTGAAAATTAAATTAAAATTAGGTTTTGCCACCAGTTGATTCAAATAGCTTATAATGAAAAGCTTATAGTGTGCAGAGAGTCCGTTGAAAGGAGATTTCACTGTAGTTTCTATTATCGAATCGACTTGTTATTTAAGTAGAGTAAATGAATGGGATACATTTTTACTATTTATTAACTGTTCGCTATTATTTACTTATCGGTATTAGTTAAGTTCAATTTTTTTCCCAATACATCTTTGTATATCGTTAAAAATAAAATCTCAAGTGTATCGTTTGAATTATCCAATGTGACATATTCATTGTGATTATTGCCGTTCTAATATCAATAATAAGATAGTAAATGAACTTAACGGCCGGTTTGTTTGTATATGTAAACTTAAATTTGAGTTTTAGTCTAGTGTAATACAAATAACAGATTCTACCGAGTGGACTAGAGCGTATCCTTTTAATTACGAGTCTTAATCTACCGTTATGGTCGCACGCTTGCGTTTAATGAGATAAATAGTGGTTTTAAATCTTGTACTTTGTAGTAGACACAATACAATGTATAGTTAGTGCAAGCTAGTGTAGCGAAAACGGGAAAAGCCAATAGGTGTTGATGAGCTTTGTCGTTATTGGTATGTGTCGCAAGAACGTCCTTAGAAACGTTATTTGAGTACAAAATGTAAATTACTTGCTCAAGAGCTTCTATAAGTTGCGGTTAATTAATATGGGAAGTGTTTGGTTTTGGATAAATAATCGTGTTGCTCGTTTGTATTAGGAAAAAACTATTTTTTACAATGTTAACTCGACATTATTCCGTCTGTCATTAGTTTCAAGACTCGAAGGAGAGCCATATTAACATTGCCGTGCGTTTTATAACAGTATGGTTATTATTATTGTACTCGTCCGTTTGTTTTTATTTTCTCGCGTATAATATTATTTGAAAAGTAGTGTCCAATTCGGTGGCGACACACAGTAAGATTCATCAAATTCCCTTTGCGTGTACTCCATCAATGCTTCATCCACCTCAACCCGGAAGAAGTACAAGTGATATGACCCAGCTCGCGTCTAATTGCCTTAATGTTATTCACTTGATAATTACTCGTTCGAGAAACTAAACAAAAATACAATAGTCAATATTATAATAATAAATTCGGTCCATGTTATTTCTAATGGGTATCAGATATGTGGAGGAGGCGAATTAACGGCCGCCTATACAATATTATTATTATTATTATGTACGTATAGTAACGCGTGGGACGTTCCATTCAAGAAGTTTCGGGCAAACGCCGCGCATGGCTCGCCTATTATTTTCACAGCTGCGGTTGTCGCGAACGCCGCTCACTTACACGCCCAAACGCTTATGATCATTACACCGGTCATATTTACCTGTGGACTTTCCGGTGTGCGCGCACGAGTGTAATCGCGGCTTAGTGGTGTTTTTTCTCTATCCGCCGCCGCCGTCTGCAGTCGGACAAACGTCCTTGACACAGAGCGGATCCACCGGGCGAATCCAGAAATATCGCCGCCGTAGCCGATGATAACCCTCTCTCGGTCGACCGCACCTGAACGCACCACTGCGATGTACGACCCAGTTTTTTCTCTTCAACTGCGCCACAAATAGACTAATTTTTTTCAACCGGCCGGAAAAAATAACTTATTGTCGTTCGGCTCTCTTGATCTATCAGCTCATGGCTCGTTAAAGCTCAGTGCACGCAAATGGCTTGCCGCTGTTGTCGAATTTCCGCTGTGTAGTTATTAAAACAACACAAGAAACGACGGACAGAATCGTTTGTGGGTGGGTGGAAAAAGGATTGGCAAAAACAAAGTTTTTTAATCGGCGGGGGTGGAACGAGTAGATTAATGTGTTCCGTGTTTTCACTGTAAACTTTTTATGCTAGACGGTATCTTACAATGTTTTTACACGCCGGCCGAATAATTGAATTTTTGTCGAATTGTACTCTTTTCAGCGTTCATTCTTAATTTTTATCGTTTAAACATGAATTTATTTTTTATCAATAAAGTCATTAATGAGTCGAAATATTATTCAAACAGTGTTTACAATCTCGTAACAACATTTTATATGTTTTAATACGAATAACGTCTGTAATAAGTCTATTGTTCGCATTAATTTGATTGCATTTGCTGCGTAAAAGATTAGCAATCAATCGCCTATATTACAAATATTGTATTGTATATATTTTTTATGATCGCTTTTTATCCGTGTCTTATTAATTAGTTTAATCTACTAGTTTTCACGCGAACATTAGTTGCCTTAAATTCACTGAAAAACGTCAGTCGTTATCTATAACAACCGACTGCTTACTGTGAAATGAAATTCATTAAATAGAAAAATATTTCAAATTTTCTTTTATTTTATTGTGGAATTTTAAAACTACCACCTCATATTTATCACCCACGACAACAGCTGTCGCACTTGAATCACAACCGCGTGGGCCGGCAGTTGTTTTCGCTAAAAATTATGTTTTCGTCTAATGATTTAGTGTTGTACGTACACCCAACCGGAGTTTTTTAAGCCGAGTGTCTGTGGTGTGGAGACCTGACAGTTGAAATCTGTTTGTGCGCGAGGAAGAAAATGGCGGGCAAGGTGATAAAGGCGGCAGCAGCCGTAATGGGGTTATAATATAGCCGGGCACTAATTTAGAGCGTATTGGGTGGTTATTGGCACACAGCAGCGATTGACGCCGTTTTGTTGGCACCGGGCGGCCGGGCGGAATGAACGCTATTTTCGGTCTTAAAATACAAGTGCATACGGGACAGCCCGGAGGAGGAGGAATAACGACCGTAAGACAGCAGCTATGTCGAGTCGCGCTATGCCACATTGGCGGATTCGCCACAGCCGGTATTCAAAACCCACATAGCCGTTTGCCAACAAATGCCAATGCGAATTTGTCACGAACCAAGCGACGTCGTTGCCGCCAATCGGCGGCTAGGTACAGTCGGTGGATTGAAAACACAAGGGAATATAACTTATTCATAACAATGACGTGTCGTTTATTTTTATTGTGTACTTTATCGACCGCACTCTTAAAAAAACAATCTCCTGATGTAATGGAATGATTTCGACGTGTCCATTTGTATGAATCAGTAAAAAATAACAAATTGTTCTGTCGTCGATAAATTCAAATTGTTTTTATGAAGCATTTTCCTTGGCGCGGATCCGCCCGGCTGTGTTCACTTTGTTTGCGTTTCGAGGAATTCTCATGGATTTCGCTTGTAATTTTGTTTTTATTCCACAATCTATTGGCCGTCCGGTGAAACAATGGTAAATTCGTTTTTCAAGGAGATTAGATGTGCCGCGTGGGCTATTGCGAGTAATTGTGTTGAAAACCTAAATCCGTTTCTCAGAAGAGGAAAAAAATTCAGTCGTTGCCGGAGTGATAAACAGCCAATAACAATTATTATTTTTGCTCGCCCCGTTTTTGTTTGATCGTTTATTATCTGAGCTTGCTTTATCTCGCCGAACTGTGTATCATTGCACGTTGCCGGTTACAATAACGCCGTGCAATTGCTTAGGTTGCACTCGGCCATTGTATTTGTAACGCGCCAGGCATGTCTGTTGGCTGCTTATCAACATTTTCGAGATAGATTATTGCCGCCGCCGTTATTGTTATTATTATTATTATTGCAGTTTTTTCACTCTTTTAATTCGCACGCAAACGCGATTTCTAGAAAATTTCCATGACTGTTTGCCGCATCGAATAGTAATAAATTGGTCGCAGTAAATTTATTACATTGTTGTTTTTTGATAATGCAGAATCGGTTTGCTTATTCGCGTTGTTGTTGTTGTTGGGAAATGGAGCGTTTTTAAAAATTATTTTTTTTTAATCCGACGTTCCAAATATTTTCAAGTATATATTTTTAAATAATACTACC